CCAACTATAAACAGATTTGAGATCTGTGCTGCCAAACTCCAGGCAACCACTAGGTGGCATCAAAGTTTCCCACATTTTGCTGCTCTCTGCTGGTTATTTGAATATTTGCAGCACATCTATTAATCCTATCCTGGACTTTCCATTCCAAGGAAATATTCATGGATGTGCAAACCACCATGACCATTTTTTTTTTTTAACTTAAAGGGCAGTTCTGAAAGATCCAGGAACTCTCTGCAGGGTCTAGAGACAATGCCCCTTGAGAGTGAATTACAAGTTTTGCAGTCCACCCTTCTTCATATCAACTCAAAAGTCCAGTAATCCCTTGCCAGGGAGTACATTATGAATGTACTCCCTGGCAAATATTAATAGGAGTGAATAGGATGCACACAGATACATACACGTACACACACCCGTAGCATATGGTGCTGGAGGGTAGGAGTCCCTCCCCTGAACTCTGCAGTACAGTGTGGGGAGGCTCCTCAGATGAGTCTCTGGGGGACCTGACTGTTGGAGTGGAGGGAAGCGCCTGGGTTAGGAATAACTGCCACCAAAGCCTGTCAGCTTGTTATACAGGAAGTTAGGAAGGCGGATGCATTGTGAGGAGCTGATAACTCAACACAACGCTCCTTCCTGGCCTTGCCAGCTGCCTCCCCTCCTCCTCCGCTGGTTTCATAATATCCCACAGGCCCAGGGGCGTGGCCTCCAGGGGGAGAGTGGGTTTGACGGGGCCTCTTCCAGGCACCGTTTTGGCCTGGCATGTGCTCTTTCCTTGTGCTGCTGATATAAGCCAAGCTGGTTCTCCGAGTGAGGCATTAGGGTACCTTTAGTGACTAACACCGCCTCGGAGCAGTTGACCATCCATCTCCTTCCCCATTGAATCACCGAGCCCACCCAGACGGGGAAGAAAGCCTGGGTGCCCATTCCAAAAGGCTGAATCTCTGCCAGGCCGCAGCAAGGGATGGAGCCACTGAGGAAAAAGGGGCCAACCGTACTTGGGTGGCGATACCCTTCCAAATCCTGACACCCCCCCCCCCAAATGTTAGAGTTATTGTTGTCAGAATGATTCTACTTGTAGAGCTGCTCCAAGAGTGACCTTGAGAGTCCTACAGTTCCTCCAATGGTCACTTTGGCACACACCTCCCCTCCCCTCCCTGTCCCCCCCCCTTTTTTTTTGGTTATTTCTGAGTGACATAGGTCAGAATTCCTTTCTTTTATGCACAGAGGCCTTCAGGGAATATCCAGAAATAGGTCTAACCCTTGAGGGTTTTGAGGGGTCCATATGGCAGAAGGAGACAGGAGGCACCACAGAAACCACAGTAACTGCCTTCCTGTGGTGGGCAGTCTTGAAAGATACAACTGTGGGGCAGAACAAGGTAGGAGAAGGATGGGGACTTAGAATGGGAGAAACACATCCAGAGCTGTGTGCCTGCCACCCAGCTGATGACCATTTGCTACATGGTTTGTAAAAGGGGCTATATGTGACACTCCATATTTTGTCCTAAGTGACCAGAGAATTGAGCTTCAGCTCCTTTTTGACTCGGTTGCATGAACCTAATAAGTAGCTGAGTGGTGGTCAATACAATGCCAGCTTGAATCCACAGTGGGGTATATTCTTCTCTATGAAAAAGTCCATTGTAAATTGGCATAGTTCAGAAAAAAGTACAGAGGATTGGATTCTGAGGCTGAATTGATATCTGAGATTCTTATGCATGCATAACAGTTATGTATGATACAGCTTTCCTGCCCTTGCGTTTCAGTTATGCTACATGAAGTTTTAATTTTCAGCCTTTTTCCTTACAGTTCTAACACCAGTTTTAGGTTGGTCACAAACGCAACACACTGAGCCAACGTTTTCTTTGTTTTTTTATAATTTTATTAAAGATTTTTTTCAAAAGAAGATAAAAACTAATACAAACTAGTTTAAAGTAAGAAAAAGAAAAAAAAAAGAAAGAAATAAAAAAGAAAGTTAAATGTGCAGGAAAGGAAAAAATAGTAAAAGAAAAATAGAAAAGAAAGAAAAAAGATACAAAGAAGTAGCTTCCAATCTTCTTTACAGCAGCTATAAGTACAATTATAAATTTACCTCTTACTCTATGGTTATAACATGACTCTCTTCTTTCACTGAGCTAACATTTCCATTGATTTTTTTTTTCTGTGACTTCATGAGTAACCATAGTGTGTACAGGTTTTTAGATGTGCACCTTGAATATTATTTTGCACCAACCTTTAGCCCAGTTTAATTCAGTTTGAATATTTAGACCTTTGAATAATTTGAGTCATCTATAAATATGGCAGCTTCAGTATTCCTGTTTGCAGCATCAATAAGTTGTTAAATAACACTGGTTCCTAATGAGGAACTTAACTTACACCATTACTTAAAAATACTTAATTTTTATCCTGGACTTCCTGTTTTAACTTGTGATTTGTTTTCTTATTCTGTGATAGTTTTTTGTTTTTCTTTACAAAAACATTTAACAGTACAAACCTACATTAAATCATTTATGTCTACCGTTTTTTGCTATTCAAAGTTTGCTGAAATGTGGGTTATTTTTCATTAGCAAGACTGATTCCGCTACATATCTCACAATGCAAAGTTTAAGCACCCTTTACACAACTGGCGTGTTCTGACAGACCTGTAGGTTTTTGGATTTTCTCTCCTTTTAAATATGTTTTTTAAAATTGCTGTTCTTCAATCAAGGAGCCTTTTATTTATTTTTATAATTTATTTTAACTGAAGATTAGGTTGTATGCAAGTGTACTGATAGTTGGAAACCAAGGGACAAAACAACTGGATGTTTCCTAATCTATTTTTAAAACTGGAGTATTGTCCAGTGCAGGTTTAATTTGTGCATGGAGGAAAGGGCCGCAGGATATAGGAAACAAAAGATACTCTGTTCCTCAAGTAGACATTGCTCAAATGAAATTTAGTTTGTAAACTTTGGTTCTTTATAAATGTAAATTAAACCAACTTTCTCAGCTTATTGAAACAATGCATCTCCACAGCTTATTGTTATAGTAAGTCAGAGTATTAATGCTGGGGATGGAGGCTGAGTGATAAACCCTTCTAATGTACAACATCTAGCATACATAGCATAGCTTAAGAAAAACATTTTTTTCATGTTAAACAAGCCTAAAAGGATGTCATATTGTTTTGAAAACTTCTGGTGGGATCATAATGATAATCTCATTTTCTTGGACTCCAAATGTCTAAATCATCTTAGTCCACTCTGCCATGGATTACTTTACCCTGCCAGAAGAGGAACACACCTCAAACAATAGCAATTCCTAGTAAGAATATAATTATCTGCTCCTTAATTACTTTTGTCAGTTACAATTTATATAGAACATGGGAAGTAGTTGAAGGGAGAATAATGAAAGTTTGAAGCAAGCAGTCTGGTATCCAAGCATTTCTCCCCCCGCCATTTTCCTCCACCTGCTACAGAAGGCCACCCCTCCCAAAGGGGCCATCCCACTCCAGCAAGAAAACAAAGACCTCTTTATCACTCCCCTACACATTTGGGAAGTTTGCAAGCACAAGAACCTTTCTTAAAGGCACAGGTAGGTTCTCTGTCCTTGTTCTGTTTTGGAAGCATCAACACAATAAACTCAATTCTAGAATTTGGAACTACATTATCTTTAGATGTCCACAGTTCGTTCATTCTCCCACCTATGCATGCTAGATCATACATCTAAAATTGACAATAGTAGCTATCAGATAAATACATACCTGAACTAGGCTTCAAATATGAAACTTGAGAGCAAAAAATACCATGAAATTCTTTTCAAGCGCTCAATAAATATATCTATTTTCCACACACTAGTACACCTTTATAAACCTCCACATTTTTGTAAACTTCCTTTTTATAAATAGGATATCCAAGTAATCTGCATTAAATCGACTTTATATATACAGACATATACTTTTCCAACCATACAGGCTAGGAGACAAGTGTTTTTATTTCTATACTAAAGGATAATATTGATTGATTGTGTTCACTTACCATTGGACTGAGATGACTCTCAGTGCGTAGCACTATAAAATGTAAAAACCAATGAAAACACAAAATTACCATAGTGGTAACATGGACTTCTAGGTCTTAGTGAAAAAGGTACACATTAAGAAATCATTGAATCATGATGGTAGCCACCCAGCAAGTCTTAAAGAACTCAAATGTGAAGTCACTGATCGTTTGACAAAAATAAATCATTTATTAACATAACCTTATATAACCACTATGGTTTATCTCAGGCAACTTGAGAATTGGACTCTAATATGAAAACTAAGATTCTTTTTTTAAGGATTTTGAAAATGTTCCAAAGTCATAATACCCAGAAGCCTTTGAGATTTGCCTTGCAGGCAGTTTTAAAATAGGCTGAATCTGACGAGGGGGTACAATTTTCGATTTCTTTCTTTTGGGAGAGGGAATACCCATTTCACTTTAAAGATAAACTCTGCATGCCAAACATCTCTTTGCTCGGGCAATGCTCCTAACATTGCAGGATTCTCTTTGCTGCGTACCTCTGCAAACGATGTAAAACAGCGCATAGTGTTTGTACTGAATGCCCTTCTGGATGCTGACACAGAGTGGGTGTATCCCATTTGTGCCTGTGTTGTAATTAAGTGTGGTCTTGATTTTTCTTCCCTGTTCTTGCTATACAGTACCCCATTCTCTGGCTTGCCTGACTGTGTGGTAACTCAGAGTAGTTTAGATCCTTTCTCTCGCTTTCTTCCTTTTGGTATATGTATGTGTTATTGAAGTGATCTGTCTGTTTTCTTTCCTTGAACACTGAACACTTAGATAGGACACTATTCCGTGGAGTGTATTTCTTGGAAAGTTAGAGCGCAATACAGGGTTTCTTGGGGAGGGGAAAATATACTGCTAGGGCCATCTCCACTGCTACCGGCACTGTGGTTTCCCTGCCCCTTGCACAGGGGCGGCTCCTGTTATGTAATATCAGCAGCCCCCAGCGAGGCGAGGCGGGGCTCACACTGTACAGCTCTGGCCACCTGGAGTCTGGGACAACAGCAGCGATGGAGGCACCCTGAAGCCCCATAGCAACTGGGCCGGGAGAGGTGGAAGGCGCTCACACGTGGGGAAAATTGGGGGTCCTTTCTCCTGCACATCCTGGAGGAAAGCCTCTTCTTCCCCACCCCCAAGCTGCACACCTGGCTAGACAGCTAGGAATTTCAGCAGGTAAGGGGCTATGCCACAGCCTCAAAGGATATCATTGTTTCCATTCCTGTTAGGGAAGGAGGGAGGGTGGATGCTATTCCTGTACCTGAATGCCTAACCAGGCAAGATTTGGGGGTGGGGGAATCTGACTAAATGGGAACTCTAACCAAATGTGTGTTTGAAACTCCAGGACCAGTCAATTGCTTGGCCCATGGAGCTACGCATCACCTTCAAAAGGTTCCCCGAGAAACGAGTTCTGCTGGATTGTAGTTCCTGTCTCAAGGCATTAGGCTTTTGCTTGATTTTAAATCCTTCATCAGTGGGCAATTTGCTCAGATGTCCTAAATACTACAGAACATGATCCTAGGGATTTGCTGGGAAATATGTGAGAATGGAAAGCAAATTGAAGGGTTTTTTGCTCACCCGTCAGTTCTGATGTGGAAGTTGCAAGTGTGTTGATGTGGTATTTTGCTCAGGAACTTTGCGATAATACCCTCTGAGCTGCTCTTTTTTAGGCAACATAGCTGGAGAAAATGCAACTTCCTAGTGAGGGCTGAACTCCTAGGGGAGCGGGGAGATCAATGCAAGCATGAGTGAAGACCATACACGCAAGACCATACACAAGCAACAATCTCCTGCATGCATAGAGGAACATATAACTGTGAAAATGACAAAGACAGTTGTGGTTTCTGAATGACTAACAAATTTATTATGGCATAAACTTTCCTGGACTACAATCCTCTTACAATGTATGTTGATAAATTTCCTGTAATAAATTTGTTAGCTTGTAAGGTGCCATAAGATTCTGTCTGTTGAACATGGTTATAACCACTAGAAAGTATTACTGTAGAGGTTCGCTTACAAATGGTGCAGCATGCAGGCAATTGTGTGCACAAATACCACTCTGGGATACAGAGGTACTTAAAGAGAATCCTGTGTATTACCAAGTCTTTTGAATGTTCTTGTGAGCTCACACCAGAAACTATATGGTGGGTATACTTGGGCCACACAGATCATGGAACTCACTGAGTAACACGTTCTGCCTTATCCATCTCACGGCATTGTTGTTGTGGGATTTAAATTAGGGTAGATCTCATGTAAGCAGTTTGCATGGGATATAATGCAGGATATAAATGCAGCAAACAAATAAAATATGAAGTGTGATAGAAAGCATTTATTGCGGATATCAGAAAAATCAAATATTTTGGTATTTGCAACCATTGGATTAATACTGGTATTTTACAGTATGCATGCTTGGGAAACTTGTTTTCATAAAATGAGAGAAATAATTGCAAATCCGTAAAATAAAATGTAATATAAAAAATAAAATATTTCAGGCCCCATAGTATTCGATAATGGGTAGGAATTGTTCACAGTGGATGGAGCTGGGAAATTTTGTCTGGGGCGAGGCACCCAGTTTAATTTGTTCTATGACTTAAAGCCAGGAATCAGGTTTGGATGTTATGGCTGGTGTAGGAAAATGTGTGAAGCATGTGAAACAGAGTAGCACAACAGGATAAGCTCAAATCCTTGTTTAGCTAAGAAGCTCCTTCATTGACTTTGACCAAATTACTCTGCATGATGCCAGTAGGTAGCCAGGTACAGGCAGCCACTGGATCTGATGATCAATAGAGGCCAAAGCAAGATTATCGGTTGTAGGTATTTTTGGTTGTTTTGCAGAGCACTAAAAGTGGCCGAGAGCTTTTAATGTTTGTGGTGCATGTATGCTCATTACATTTTTTTTACCTCTAGTAAAGAAGTTTTTTTAGGTTTGCGGTATTATTTCAGACACCTGAAAATCTATTTGACCGGAGATAAAATTGAGAGTAAAGAAATGTAGGTGAGCTAGCATGTCCATCAGCAAAACTGAACAGACTCTTTGAGTTGTATCTCATTGATTTATCCTTTATGCTTTGTGGTACATTGATATAGATTGCGTTTCCTGTACAATCTTGGTGAAGAGGCTAGTATGTAGTAAGAGTTAGTGACCCAGCTCACACAGATGCTTAGCCATTATGTGGCTGTTTGGTCCTGGCTTAGCAAGTTGTACAAATTATGATATGAAGAAGATGGTGAGATGGAAATTTTGACTAGAGCCCTTTGGTTACGTCTGGCTTGTTTTCCCTGAGCAGTTCCCTCCGCTCTTTCAGTATTCTATAGTCTCTTTCACTAATGCAGTTTCCTCCTAATGCAGTGTAGCAGAACTGTTTCTGATGCAGCCCAAGTTGTCTATGATTTATAAGGACGCAGTTGCAAACTCACGTTTTAAAATCACTGTAATACAAGGTTTGGTGAGCATGCAAAACTATGTGACAAGTTGTGGATGTGTGGATATACATTTCTGTGTGTACATGTGTATACATACCTGTGCACATGTTTTCATTCTTCTGGGTATGTATAGGTGACACCACTTTATTTATTTTTGTCTAAACTGGAATTCAGCGAGGAGTCTGGAAAAAACTTCATATGTTGTTCTAGGGGCAGAAGTGGGAATCTTCTATCAAACTTACTGTGGGCCCAATATACATCAATGGATATGTTCCACTATACATTGATATAGTATTCAAAAGTCACATACTCACATGTTCCATCACTCAGATTAATTCATTCCCATTCCTATATCCCATTTAGGGGCCGTGTAAATAAATGTTATGCATGGGAATATAAGAGAGAACAATGCAGACATAAGCAGATTATGTGCTAGGGAGCAAGACTGATTTCACAGTTGTGTGTGGCCTTTCTGTGTACTTGCTTTTTGTAGCAGCAACCAGCACCTCTTCTTCAGTTGACATATTTTGATCATGAATATATGCATTTTTGCAACAAAATGAGTTTCCAGGTCAATTGCAGTAGAGTTGAATGGGAGGATAAGAAGCAAGCAACTGCTTGATGGACCAATTGCAAAGGCTCAGGATAGGAGTTACTTTCCTTCAGGTTTAACCCAGTATTATAGATTTTGACTGACAAGAGCAACTGCTTTCCAAGTCTTGACTAAAGGTTTTCCCTATCACCAGTTAAATGATCATTCTAACTAGAGATGTCTGCCAATATATGCTTTACCGTTAGGCTGTGGTTTTAAGGGTCTGGGGTGAATTGCAAATTATCCATTCAGAAGAGGAATGGGAAGGTTTCTTTGGGTCTCTGCATAAAGCATGTATTGCAGTGATGAATTTACCTCATTCTAGGCATTCTGGCCAGATAGAAATGTAGGTTGGTTACCTACTTATTTGTTGCCTAGCAAAAAATACCCTCAAATAGTGCCTGCATAAAATGTTCTCCTCTTGCTTGTCACAACACTTTCTCTGAATATGGAGATTCTATTTAGTAGATGCTTGGCACCCATAACCCATGTTTCCATTTCATGAATCTGTTTAATCAATTAAAAAAAAAAAGCAATCTAAGGCAATTGCCATTGCCACCTCCAGTTGTAATAACTTCTGTCAGTCACTAAGAACAATCTTACAAATCTAGCCAGCCTTTTCCAAACTTGGATGTATTCCTGGATATTATTCAACTACAGCTCCCACCCACTCCAGTGAATATAACCAGTAAGCAGAAATAATGGGGGTCACAGTCCAACAATGTTAGAAAAAGATGAATAATCCCTTATTCTGTATTTACCAACACCTAGCTAGAACCCTCTAGGCCCACTTTCCAAATTCCCTCTCAAGCAGCTTAACTTTCATGAAAAGCTGTTGACAGACTTGTTCTCACCCATTGAAAACTCTTGTGTCATTTACCTCATTATTGCTTGGAGGGTGAGAGAAACGAGGAAGAGAATTTAACATTTTGGAGCTCTGCTAAAGCCTTGCTCATATTCATGTATTTTCTTCCCCCTACCCATGGATGGAGGTGTCCTAGAAGTTCTGGGTGTGCTTCTTCTTTCTTGTGCAACATCCCAACAGAGAGGTTGAGGAAATTGCAGGACCAGTCTCTGTCGAAATACACACTAAAAAAGCAAAGAGTGAGTGGTGATAACGGACCACAAAGGGAGAATGGGGGAAGAAGATCAGGGAACATTCACTTTCAGATATTTGGTGCTTTCTACAGTAACATTTTTTCTCAGGACATGCTGGCTGGGGAATTCTGGGAGTTGAAGTCCACTCATCTTAAAGTGACCAAGTTTGGACAACACTGCCATAGGCTATGGTAGCTAAGGGAGATGGCATTCAAAAATGTTTGGATGGCAAACAACCATATTTGTCCATCCTTGAGTACCAAACAAGAAACATCCCACAGTTAGCACTAGAAAGCAGGGCCAGTGATTTTCAAAAGAGATGTGCTAGATCTGAAGTGTATAGTGATCGATATGATTCACCCAGCTATCCAAATCCAAATATTATCTACTCTGGCAGTTGGGGACTTAGCAAGATCTCCAACAGAAAGAAGACTTTCTATCCCTGATATCTGATTCCCCATTCTCACAATTGGAGATGGCAGTGACTGAAAGCAAGGTAGCTGTATGAGGAAGATAACCTGAGTGCTACTACTGAGCTATTGTCTATCCATAACTCTTTTTTTCCTGTAGCTTCTCCCCACACGTCTAATTTAATTATTATTCTCTTCCCATAGCACCTTGGCAATTGTATTTATAGGAGGAGGTCTTAGCAATTTCTCAACAGGGAACTCAATAGTTCCCAAGATTCTTTGAAGAAGCCATGCTTGTTAGAACAAGAAAGAGCCATCCAAAAATCATAAGAGATTTATTGCACTTTAAGAAGGGTGGCCAAAGAATAGTTGGGCTCAATTCCTTCTCCTGAAGCAAAATGGATTTATAGCTGAATTTTATCGCAGTTGTATTGATGGAGCAATGCAGCAACTGGCTATTTTAGGGAAGCGGAGAAACAGCCTTATAGCATACATAGTTTTTCTTTCAACAGAAAGGAATGGTCAGGTGGTTCAGAAATAAAGACAGGGGAATGGGGGAACTGCCCAGGCCCCAGAAACTGCCACCTGCAGTAGTTTCTTCACTCTGCCAACAGCCAGGTCAGCCCTAAGATGGGCCAGGAGTCCAGAATCCT